TCCTCCCCTCCCCTCCACCCATCTGTCCATCCACCTACTCCTCCCTCCCCTCCACCCATCTGTCCATCCACCTACTCCTCCCCTCCACCCATCTGTCCATCCACCTACTCCTCCCCCGCCCCCATGTACAGATCTAACTTGGGCAGGTGTAGCCCCGCCCACTGCTCCCCCCCACGGGGCACGTAGACCAGACGTAAGGTGTTGGTGGCGCCCGACCCCGACCTCCAGCCACTCATGACGATGACCGCTTGACCAGGCTTGACCAGTCCCCGCTCCCCGGCCGTCTTCAGGGCAAAGGTCACGCGTTCTTCCATCTTGCCCTCCCAGTACGGCTGGCCTGACTCCCAGCTCGACTTGGAGCCCTCGTCTGGTGGAATACGCCCGAGTTCACACACACACACACGCAAAAACACACACATGCACACACACACAGAACGCAGGTATAATGATACGAGAAGGATGGGCCGAATCCACGAATATATGTGAATCCTGACGTTTCAAAGCATTTCTAATAATATACTTGTTGCAACTTGCAACACAAATACGTCATATTTATAAGAGCTGAAGATTGGAGTCGCTACCAGAGAGTGACATACAAAGAAAAGGAGAAGAGATTCGGATGATAAGGATGATAGATATTTTAGTTTTAGTAGAGGGTTTTACAGCGCTCTCCACTGCATAAGGTCATATGAGCGCCAGAAGATTAGAGGAGTTACAAGAGAGTAACAAATATAAAAAAAGAAGAAGGGGAGATAAGGACGATAGATGTTTGATAGGAAAGAAGAAGCAGACAACACCACAGCACCCGCTGATAGATATTTAAAATAGGAAAGGAAAGGAAATAAGGACTATAGATGTTGGAGGAGAGATAAAGACAGTAGATGTCTAATTAATAGGGAAGACAGAAGAGGCCACACCAGAGTACCGGCCACCCGCCCAGCCCCTGTAAGTGAGCCTGTACTCCAGTGTTGTTGCACACACAAAGACAGACCTCCCACCCCCCCCCCCCCCTCCCCACAAGGGCACTACGTTAGCTCAGTCGGTATCATGCTGGACTACACAGAGCCGATGACCCTGGTACAAATCCCAGTTAGTTTAGTTTTAGTAGAGTTTTTACGGTGCTCTCAACTGCATAAGGTCATGTGAGCGCCAGAAGATTAGAGGTGTTACAAGAGAGTAACAAATATAAAATAAAAGGAGGGGAGATAAGGATGATAGATGTCTGATAGAAAAGAAGGAGCAAACCACACCAGAGCACCCGCCAACCACCTGCTACAAATCCCAGTCTGGATGTTCTTGACCTCAGGTGGTTTTGTGAAGTGTTCAGATCTCTCAATCCATGGAAGACGGAGGCTAAACTTGGAGGTAGTCGTCCCCTTTTAAACGACCTACTGGTGTTGAATGTGGCGTTAGATGGGGAAGATGTTCCTGTAGAACTGTGCCTAGTTGTAAACACAAAGACTAAATCCTTCCCCAATAAACACAAAAAGATACACGCCCACACACACTATACTTAATTTAAGTAAGAGTTTTACAGCACTTGCAACACCATAAGGTCATATAAGCACTGAAGAATAGATGTGTTACAAGAGAGTAACATACACAACAACAAAAAGGAGGAGAGATCTAAGACGACAGATGTTGGATAAGAAAGAAGGAGCAAACAACACCATATTCCTCCCCCCTCAATATATCGCTAAAAGACTGACCGTTATAGTAGATGGGGAAGATGCCCCTGTAGAGATGAGCCTGTCTGGCAGTCTGCACGTTGCGGGTCACCTCCAGGATGGGGCAGCGGGGCCGGTAGGCAGAGAGTAGGTACGCCGATCTGTGGGGGAGGAGGGGGGGGGAAGGAGAGAGCAACAAAAATAGGATATAGTTTGTGATAATAATTATGATAATATTCATAACAATAATGATAATTTTCATAATAATAATGCTAATAGCAATAGCAATAATGGTAAAAAATAGCATGAATGCATGGGGGCATGGGGAATATGCAAACAGGATATAAGCTGAATTG